AACTAATTACTTATACTTGAATATCCGTCTTAGGTAGTTAACCTCTAGATATGATCTTGGAGATGAATAAAGTTGCTTCCTCTTGTTTCCTATTCCTAAGGAAACTCAAGTTCATTGCCTGCAGTTCATCACTACAGTATTCTTTAAAAATTTTATTATTTCTAATTTTAATTATAAAAAATTATATATATATATATTAAAAATGATTAAAAATATTTATATAATATTATTGGATTTTTATGAAATTTTTTTAATACAAGAAAGTTAAATTTTAAAAAAATCAAAAAATTTTTTTACCTATTTTCTGACCACTTTTTATATATATAAAAATGAGTTAAAAATTTTTAATTAAAAATTTTTGATTAAAAAAATTATTTTATTTTAAAAAAATATTAATATATTAATTAAAACAATATTAAGTAAAGTTGTTTTATAAAATATTTATTATATGTTTATAAATTTTTATAAATTTTTATAAATTATTTATTAAGTTATAACTAAAAATATAATTGTTATTTTTTTTGTACCATACTATATATATACTGTATATATAATATAGTATATAAATTGCTTTTTTTTTTATCTTATTACTTTTTTAATTTTTTGATATTATTAAAGTCAAAAATTTTTTTTAAAATATATTAATTTTTTGATTAATAGGATTTAATATTTATTCTTTAAGATTATTGTATCAAAAAGATACAATAGGCTTGAAGATATAGGAATTGACATGTTAACTCTTTTTTTAAATAAATTATTTTATAAAGAATAAATAGATATAAGAATACAGAATAATAACAAGTTATATACAGTAGTAAAAATTTTATAAGTTTTTTTTTTTATAAATGAAAACTTATTTTAATAATTATTTGCATATATTTTTTTTTCTAATAAAGATTAAACAAAAAAAAAAAACATTACTTAAATAGTATTAATCAAATATAAATATTTATTATTTTTTTAATTAAAAATTAACATTTAATAAAAATTTAATATCAATTACAGTATGTTTTTATTAGGAAATTATTTGATCTGATAATCTCACTCACCTTTCAAAGTGTCACAATAAAGCGCAGAAGAGTTTCATTCATTTGCACCGAAACACCGATTTATTTCAAGATCAAATATGACAACCGTCGAGAAGCCTGAAAATGCGCCCGAGCACTGTCCGGTAATTACCACAGTTCTCTTTTCATAAAGAGGTTCTCCTTTCTAAATAGATCTTTTTTGCGTACCAAACGTATACTAGGGCCCTGAGACCGAAAATGCAGGAAAAGCCTCGGCTTGTGAAGGCTGCCCAAACCAAAAAATATGTGCCACTGCGCCCAAGGGACCTGATCCAGGTAAAGTTATTTAACTTTCTGTCCGTTTTTGTGTATGTTATTTGCGATAAATTTATCTTTTCCTTTGTTCAGACATAAAACTCATCACGGAAAAGATGAGCACAGTGAAACATAAGATACTTATTTTATCGGGTAAAGGAGGAGTTGGTAAAAGCACATTCACGGCACAACTTGGGTTCGCATTTGCCGGTGATGAATATATCCAGGCATGCCAAAGATCATTGCATTCAGAAGATATTCTTTATCAGATTGTGACAAATTTTTTGTTTGGTATTATAATATAGATCGGAGTAATGGATATCGATGTTTGTGGACCCTCGATTCCAAAGATCATGGGATTAGAAGGGGAACAAATTCATCAGAGTTTGTCGGGATGGTCGCCAGTTTATGTTCAGGATAATTTGGGTGTCATGTCAATTGGATT